GGCCTGAGTTCAAATCCAGCCTCAGACACATAACTCTTACTAGCTGTGTGAGCCTGGGCAAGTCACTTAACGCCATTGCCTAGACAAAAAAAAAAAAAAAAAAAAAAAAAGAATTAAAAAAAAACTGAGGTGAGAAAAGGTTAAATGATTTGCACTGGATCACACAGCTGTGTACTTGTTAAGCAGTCTCTCTGTTTTACTGCACTACAAGATTAATCTGCTGAAAACAAGTGGATTCTCATCTATTCAATTAAATTCAGTAGCTATTATGTTAAGTACCTGTTAATGTGCTAGGAAATATGCCAGGTTCTGGGGAAATAAAAGGCAAATGCAAAACTGTCTTGCACTCAAGGAAGTTACATTCTACTGATTTAGGAAACAAACTTTAGTTCTTTGTCACCACCCTCTATAAATATTGGACTCAGTTGAAAGACCACACCCAAGGACCCAGAAGGCTACATGTGGCCTTGAGGCTGCAGGTTCCCTGCTCCTGGCCTAACACAATAAATGTTAGACCCATTCAACCCCTAACCTTTGCTTGTAAGATTTCAACTTTTATGGGCATGTTCTACTGGAAATGAGCTATTTGGGCTTTAGCCAAATGCTTTTTATTCAGATCAGTGTAGTTTCTCAACATTTCCTCCTTTCATATCAATTACCTTATCTATACTAGATGTAGTTAGATATAATTATTTCAGAATTCAACATTAATCAAGGTCTTTCTATATTATCTTTATAGGTAGGTATCTATTTTTTTTTCCTTTTAGATGTAAGGCTAGTTTGAAGGTTTTTTTTTTAATTCTGATTCAAAGTAATTTTCCAATACAGATTTCTGGTATAAACAGCCATGATTTCCTAGAATTACTGAATGAACTTATGTTTAATTTATATGTTCGTAATACTTGTTCCAAGAAAGCTCCAGAGGGTAAAGAAACCTCCCATTGTGGTGATCGGAACTACTACTGGCCATTTCATTAAAAATGACCTTTACTCCTGGAAGGAATCTCTCATTCTAGGTTCTCCAGCTGTAGAATTATTTGGGGCTCCCAAATGCATGTAGCCTTCTCAGAAGGCATGCTTCAGCAGAGTCTGTACTGTATTTGAGATAGCCATATAACTTAGTCAGGAGAGTATTTGACCTATATAATTTCAGTGTAGTGAAGAGATGTGCTAAATTACAAACTTTGTGCAGTCTGGCATTACTAGCGGATTGTGGTGGGAGGAAAGAAGGGGCCATATTTTATGCTAGAACATTTTATGATTCTGGGGTGTCACTTCTGAGCATAGGTATCAAACATTTTGATGTCTTATTTACCAGCCTGCCCTGTCCCTACTTTAGATGGGGGTTTTTCATTCCTTGAGCTTGAAATGTCCATCCTGTAGGACTGTTTTTGCTCATCCACATACCCCCAATTCCTTAAATTGATCCCCTCTCTTCTAAAATCTTTTCTTCTATCAAGGTTCCTCACTCAAGGATCAAAGTTTGCTAGTATAGTCTTCTTTCTAAAATGCTCTTGTAATCTCTTGCTTATATTACTCTATAGTTGTGTACATACCTCGTTCTTCCTACTACTTTACACTGATAAAATCCTTGAGGGCAAGAATAGTTGACCATTTTTATCCTTACAGCCCCTCATACATAGCACAGAAAACCCTTTCCATAATAGTCACTCAATAAAACTTGTATAGAATCATAGAATTTCAGAGTTGGAAGGGAACTCAAAGACCATTTTGTCCAGCTTATGTCTCAAAGAGTCCCCTTTACAACATAACAGACAAGATGTCTTTATTTAAAGACTTGGAAAAAGGTCTTCCCACTCCCTTCCAAGAAAGGATCATTTGGTTGCTTTCATTGAGGGAATTTTTTTCTTTCCATGGAACAAAGATCTACATCTTGGTAATTCCCATCCATTGTTTCTAGTTCTACCATCTGGGGCAAAGCAGAACAAGTTTAATCCTCTCTTCTATATAGTAGCCTTTCAAAGACTTGAAGTCACTATCTTCTTGCTCCTTCCTCCCCTACCCCCAAGTATTTTTTGTCTCCAGATTAAATTCCCTCAGTCATTTCAACTGATCTTCACATATCACATTGACCCAAGGCCCTTCAGCATCTTGGCTACCTTCCTCTGGATACTCGTCTGCTTCTCAGTGTCTTTCTTAAATCATGATGTTCAGAACCTACCACTATAGCCATAGCTGAATCAGTCAAATACAGCAGAACAATTCCCTTAAACCTCTGTTTGCCTCAGTTTCCCCATCTGTAAAATGAGCTGGAAAAGGAAATGGCAAACCATTCCAGTATCTCTGCCAAGAAAACTCCTAATGAGGTCACAAGGAATCAGACATGACCGAAAAAACGATTGAACAACAACAATCACGTGCCAGACACTGTGCTAAGTGCTGCTTATTAAGGCAGACTATGATAATGTTAGCAACCTTGGTTGCCACATAACACACATTGTTGACTCATAATGAGTTCTGTGGTTCCCTTTTTTTAATAATCCCCCCATTTGTTCAATTGAATTTAATCAAACTAATATAGAGAAGTCAAAGTATGAGAATTCTCAGGAAGTAAACCATACACTTTAGTAAGCCTATATTTCTCCTATTCTCAGGTTTAAATCTGTAGACTCCAAAGACTGCAGAGCTGGATGGTACCCTGACAATCTCTCAGGCAGACATGGATTCATAGTTCTGCCATGTGACATGGATGGGTCTGCTTATTTATCTCCCTCGCTATACAGAACCAATACTGATCTACTTGCTATTCTTCGTACATCACCCTCCAGCTAACTCTTGTCTTTATGCCTTATGGCTTTTTCCTCTGCCTAGGAATCCTCTCCCTCTGGGTCACCACCCCTTAGAATCCATGGTTTTCCAAAAAGAAGAAAGAATACAGTTCTATCACTATCACTGCTGCAAAGGCTTTTCTCCCTATTGTCTGAGACATCAAAGCAGGAAGATTTTTGAATTCTAGTTTGAATTTGAATTTGAATGCTAATTGTCTCTTAAAGAGACAAACATTTGTTAAGCACTTATATGTCAGATCCTGGGGACACCAAGACAAAAATGCAATAGCTCTTGTCCCCAGGGAACTTATAGTCTGGATACACTGATTTTATTTCTTCCTGGCTCCCAGATTTGCCTTTCTTAGTTCACCTTCATGCCAGTTATTTGAAGGGTTTCAGAATTAGAGAATTATAGAATTCCAGTACCTTAGATTTCCATAGGACCTCAGAGGTCATATTCAGTTGTCTTCAGTCATGTCCAACTCTTTGTGACCTCCTTTGGGGTTTTCTGGGCAAAGATACTGCAGTGGTTTGCCGTTTCTTTCTTCAGCTCACTTTACAGACGAGAAAACTGAGGCAAACAGGGTTAAGTGACTTGCCCAGGGTCACACTAGCTAGTAAGTATCTGAAGCCAGATTTGAACTCTGGTCTTCTTGACTCCAGGCCTGGTGCTCTATCTGCTATGCCACCTAGCTGCCCCCCCCCCCCACCCCGCCGAGATCATATAATATGCCACAAACCTGAGCCAAGTTATCCCTTCTGCAACACCCTTGTACTCATCCATATTCCATGGGGAACACCTCCAGTAGGAACCCACTATCTCCCAAAAAGTCCATAGCACTTTGGAATAGTATTTGTTTATATCAAGTCTAAAATCTGACTCTGCCGTAGCCCTGGTGTTTCTGTCTGGGGCCATGGCAGAACAAGTGTACTCAACATGAAAGCATTTCAAAAAGACATAGGATGCTAATAGGATCTTTGATACAGAAATGGGATAGGATTTTATAAATATTTAGGTTTACCCCCTCATTTTTTATGTGAGGAAACTCAGGCCTGGAGAATTTAAGTGACTTTGCCATGATGTCACACAGGTGGTAAATGTCAGAATGAGGATTTGAACTCAGGTTCTATAAACCCCACCTAAGTTAGCTTCTTTTGACTTGCCCTGCAGCTATCATGCCATTGCATCCACATCTAGTTCACTTCACCATTCTTGTTCAGTTAGGTGTCACTGACTTAGTATAATACATTAGATATGGTAGGACCAAGGCAGGGTATCATGAAAAATCACTTTTCCCTATTGTAGACTGTATATATCTTTTGAAGCTTAAAATCCATCACATTTTTAAAGTTGACCAGTCTCCACTAAAAAACTATAGCTTTTTCACAAAAACATGTATAGCTTTTCCTTATCTCATACTTGTACAGTTCATTTATTCATATTAAATAGTAATTCTGTCTTAATTGATTTAGCCCATCATCTTAGCCTATCAAGGTTTTTTTTTTAAATTCTAGCATCCAACGTATTAGATGCATTTAACCTGAAAATTTGATGTCTGCCATATTAGACCTTCTTTAGACAAATTATTGATTAAAATGTTGAACAAGCACATAGGTGGCCAAGGACATGATCCATGGGACATTTTGCTAAGATACCTCCATTTGTGGACATAGATCCACAAATAATTATTCTAGTCATTCTATCCATTCCACATCCACCTGTCAATCTAGTCCATTTCTTTCTATCATTCACAAAGATGAGTCATATAAGACACTTTATCAAACATTATTAAATACTTTTTATCAAATCTCAGGATACTATCTATGTCTATGGCATTTCTCTGATCTATAGTCTATTTAGATGCACTCTTAAAAATGGAAAGGAGGTTAGTCTAGGCATGACTATTCTTCTTGATCTAAGTCATGTTGGTTTTAAATGAACATCAAAATGGTTTCATCTGTCTTTCTCTAAGTCTGTCTCTCTCTGTATCTCAGTCTCAGTCGCAGTCTTCCTGTTCCCCTCCTCCCTGCCCCTGCCCCTGCTACCTCAACACATACACATTCACAGTCACAAATCCCTTGAACAAATATTCTTGAATTTTATTAAGAATCAGTGAATTTGCCATCTGGATAGGTGAAGTCTAGTTCACTAGTTTGGTCTGAAGTCTCCACAGTCTGCCTAATAAGGTATGGGGACACTGCATCGGACCCTAATAAGGTCAAATTTCATTTTGTCCTCTATGATGCAGGGGTCAGGACTACTAAGAGCATGTGTCACAATGGACACCTCACAATGAAATGTCACAGAGACCTGTCTGTTCAGCACTCGATGAGGCTTGGGGGAAAGGGTATAAATAGCCAAGAGCCACACTGAGCTGGAGTTAACAAACAGCAGCAGCAGCAGCAGGATCAGTGAATCTGAACCTAGTAGAGGCTTCAGCAAGAAGGAGTAATCGGTCAGAACATCTTCTGGCTCAAAGAGGGAAGGCAATTTGGTAAGCAGGAAATATTTGGCTTATTGATTGGGGTTGCAATACAGGTCAAGGCGTTCTAATCTCTCTTGCGATCACCTCAAATCTCAATTTTTCTGCATTCTTATTGGTACATAACTGGCTTCTTTGTGCTAGAGAAAAATTGGGGACTCTCTTTCTCCAACTCCTGTGTGTTTGGTTTAGTGATGAAAGCATTGAAAGAAAGTGAATGAGAATGTATTGGGATGTGTGAAGTGAAGTCACTCTAATCAGAGTTTAATTTGATTAGTAAGTAGATGTCTATTAAGGTAAAAAGAAAAGGTAAAAAGAAAAAAAAACTAGTGAAAGAACACCCCTACAACACTCAAAGAACACAGGGCTTACTAATAATTTCTTGGTAAGGTTCAGCTGGAATCTCAAGCCATGAAAATTTGAAAAGGACAAATAGATTCCAAGATTTCTGCAGTGAGGATAAAGAGATACTCCACACCAGAAGATTTCACAAAGGACACTCCACATCCCGAAGTTTCTCCAATATAAAGAATTTTTGGCTAAAGACCGAGACCAACAAATTGTTTCTCCAGGGAACAAATAGAAAACTTTCCTAGGAGGTGCAGAGCAATTAACATGTGAAGAATTTACCAAGATCAAACTCCTTCTCCAATGCTGAATGTTACTGACATTTTTGTATAATAATAAACTGTTTATAAAATCAAAAGTTTTCTGTTTTTTTGGGTAGGCAATGGGGTTAAGTGACTTGCCCTGGGTCACACAGCTAGTAAGTGTTATGTGTCTGAGGCAAGATTTGAACTCAGGTCCTCCTGAATTCAGGGCCAGTGCTCTATCCACTGCACCACCTAGCTGCCCCCAAACGTTTTGTGTTTTAAAAGACAACATTAGGATAACAGTCATTTTCAGAGCACTAGATTTTTACCCATTACTTTTTTACACTGGCCTCAAGCCTGAAAATACCAGGGTGACAGTCCTGGTCCTGACAACACTGGCTTGTGATTCCCTGGGTAACTCTTGGCAACTC